TTTGTGCTCTTCTCCATTCATGGTCCTAGGGTAGGGTCCTTTGTTTCTGGACTGTAAGATTAACTACTCCTCCATTTTTGTTACAATACTTCTACCTTTATAATTGTGACAGTCACAATTAGTCATGAATCATAAGAATCTTATCCCCATCTCTTTTAACCAAACCCATCTAGATAAGATGAAATCTATTCAGTCGGGACTCTTTCTTGCTCCACACACTATTAAATTAAACTCCCCCTTGGAACTTCATGTCTTTATCACCCCCTCATTTTAAGTAGCCAATGTGTAAGTTGCCCATCCATATCTACCTTGTGTACAGAGGGAATAGCATTGATACTTGATGTGAAGACTCTTTCCCTCTATGTTGGTATTTATAGAGTTACTACCTCCATGAATAAGGAACTCTGGTAGTGTAGTGGTTATAAATCGGGCTGCTAATCTCATGGTCAGCAGTTCGAAACTACCAGCTTTTCCGTGGGAAATAAATGAGGCTTTCTGCTCCCGTAAAGATTTACAGCCTCGGAAACCCTGTTCAGGGTCGCTATGAGTCAGAACCGACTCCACGGCATACAGCAACAACAGTAACAACAACAACAATAAAGGGCTCAAACATAGCAATTGTAAGGATGGCACAGGACAGGGCAATGTTTTGTTGTATTGTGCATAGGGTCACTCTGAGTCAAAAGCAACTCTACAGCACCTAACAACAGTAGCAACAAAAATGATCTCATAACTTTGCCACTGTATTCTCCACCACATTCCTGGATATATTTGCTGCAATGGTAAATACCCATGTACAAACACCTTCTCTGAAACCAATATATATTTATGGGTATACTCTCACTCTCCTGTCCACACCCATTCAGCCTACATGTCTGTCCATGCACTTACTCTTAGATCACCATTACTGAGAGAGTGTGTATATTCTAGTATTTACCTCTGTTGCTTTTAGCTCTTGCACTCTTCCCAGTGTCTTCCCTTTCCTCCATCATTTTTGCCGACCTCCCTCTTATTGTATATTGCTTTCCCCTTCATCAAGTGTCTACTCTTTAGACAGTAACTTATTCTCCCTTCCCCTACCATCCGTGGTAACCATCAAAGAATGTTTCTTTTAGTGTGAAAACATTTTCTTGACTTTTACTTTCTTTCTTTTTTTTAAATGTTTTATTGTGAATTATGTAATAGTTTACATGGGAGAACATTAGTTTTACATTCATCCTATCGTATATCATTTCATTGCCATGGTTACAATCCCCTCCATGCATCATCATCCAACCAAAGGGTATACACTACAAGTCTGTCCCCAGTTGTCAGCATACAGCCCCTCTCCCTCTCTAAAGTCCCCAACTGCTCCATCTCTCCACGTCATTGTCTCTGCCTCCATCTCAGGTATCACTGCTTCTCTGGGTAGGGTCACGCTCTCTGCTCTTCTCCCTTGATCGTCCCACGGACCTCCGCTCCTAGACTGGAAAGTTAATCACTCCCTTCCTTGCTACAAAACATCTGCCTTTACATTTCCAGCCCTCACAAGCAATTATTCACTATTGTATCACAGGATACCTATCCACATTTCATTAGCCCCGCCTAGACAGATTGGGTACTACTCAGTGGAGACTATCTTCCTTCACACCTTCTGAATCTAGTTTCCCTCTTGAAAGCTTGTAAACCAGTCACTTCTTGCTTTTGTAGCCCCCACCCCCACCCCACCCCATTTTGGGTAGTCAATGTCCAAGTTGCCCATCCCTGTCTACTCTGTGTATGCAGGGGGTGGGAATGATTCTTGCTGTAAGGATTTGTTCCCTCTTTTGAG